AAAAGCTTCAATTTCATTCAATTTGCCTTTAGTCCAGATCAGGCATGCAACCATCCCAAGCTACGGCTCGCTGATCGGCAGCGAACATGTTCAGTAGCGAATCGTTCGGTGACCGAACATGTTCGGTTACTAACCGTTTGGTGACCGAACTATCGGTTTGGTGCATGCCTAGATCTGACCATACTATTAGCATGTTAAGCAAACCGATGCTTTATTCCAACGGACATTTTAATAGTAGGTCCCCATGAACAACTATGGTAGGTAAAGGGTTAAAGTGTCCTGGTGTAAAGTTGCCTATAAAATGCCTTCAAAGCTTCTTCAAAGTTTTGTAGGAGACACATTAAGACATTTTTGTCGTCCAGAACATATTAAGGGCACTCGTCAGACGCATTTCACTGTAGGCACATCGGACATGACACATTATTTATTAAAGCATATAATCACTAACACGGTTATTTTAATTCTGTGAAGTTCTAGTGTTAGCCATATTTTAGTCTCAGTCCTAACAGACGGACACCACCGGCGCTTCGGAGAAGAGCCTTGCCAGGCCCGAACCGTGATTTTGAAGGTGTGGCTCAGATCCCGTTTTGTAGAGGACTGTTCGGGCTGTGAATCTATCGAAAAAAATCAGCATATTTCTATGTCATTTGGGGAGCTACGACCTTTCTTAAAACGGTAATAGTACAAATTTCTATTTTTGACGCGAAAAATTGGCTTGTGTTTCGTTCTAATGTGTCGATCTCAAGACAGAAAATGTTTTCCTTTATCCTAAAGAGAGAATATTTCTCTTACAAGAAGAAAACGTCTGACAGATCGTTAGGTCAGTGAATTAAAAATCTTTTTATGATAATGACGCAAAACCATGCTTTTTGCAACATTCTTGCATGGTAATTGTCATTAAAATTGGATACATCAATGTTTTACGAGAAAACAAGCTTTCAATAAGGAGCAGTTACAGCACTCATATTGTATATAAACTTCTTAATTTACAATTAAAGAATTGAATGATGGATGTGACTTGTGACCAAGGAAGAGAAAAAGACTTGGCTTAAATTGATCAACCGTGAGAAAACAATGAGTCAATATATTTTACCTTTCCATTTGACGTTTTATTAACGCTGATGTTTGTTTCTTTTTCTCTCTATTCAAGCAACACGAGTCAAGATGTAAAGTCCTCTTTCTTTGTATAATCATTTTCTATTGAAAGACCAAAACCAAAATCGAAAATGCTCGTGATAGGCAAATTTGAACAATTGCCAAATGAAATTTTGTTAGAAGTATTTACATACTTAAATGGTTTTGATATTTATAATGGTTTTAATCAACTAAATTCTCGTTTTGATCGTCTACTCAAACATTGTTGGTACGAATTTACAACAAGAAATTTTGAAGAATTTAATTTATTATGTAAAACAATTATTTCTTATATAACACCACAGCAAATTAAGGCAATAAGATTTTATGATTTTGGATTAGAAAATAATTATTTTCCTATTCTTATTCAATTAAACATATTTTTTGATCGATTTAACATTGAAAATTTTATTAATCTTAAATTAATAAAAATAAATGAAATACATCAGTCAAATGATAATGATAATAATAATGAGATTGCTGATATGAATATTGTATTAAAATATGTCATTGAAAATTTATATAAATTACCAAATTTAACTTATTTTGATATGTGTTTAACATATGAAAATTGTACAAATAAAACAATTCAATTTGTTTATAAAACAATATTTAATTTACCAACTTTAAAATCTTTAGTATTAACTATAGCTGAGGAGAATGATATTAACTTTTTTCAATATCAACAATCAAATCTTGAATCATTAACTATTCTTGCTGCTTTATATATGTCTGATATAAAACAAATATTAACTTTTAATCCAAATTTGAAATATTTATGCATTATTGATCTATCTAATAATACAATAACTAAATATCAATGGAATAATAATAAACTATTACAATCATTGGTACCTAATCTAAAAAATGTTAGATTTCACTTTAATATTAATGTTAGTTGTGATGATATTATTTTGTTAATTCAGCAATTGCCAGAAATACAAAAATTAACAATATGTAAAGATTATAGAGGATTTATCGAAAAAGAGTCGTTGAAACGCTCAATACAAACATCTTTACCGTTATTAGAGAAGCTTAAACTTACATTCAAAGATGTTAGTGGTGATCCTGATGAACTTATTGATTCTGATGATGAATTAACATATAATCTTGAAGAATTTATTTGGTGTGATATTCATAATGAAATTATGAACGCTATGAATCATCGTAACTGATTTTCCAAGTAATTTGGACAAAAATCCAGCCTAAGAACGCGGCTTCCTTTTTTGCGTTTTTTGCACTGTTACTGTGAAGAGCAATTCAAATTAGTCTAGAAAGTTTGATTTATGGGTTATTTTGAAAGGAGAATAGAATAAAATTAGTTAGAAAATTTTTTATATTTTATGCATGTTATGCCATGCTTGAATCTCTTGTGGATCGTGTCTTAAGTTTTCAAATGAAAAGTACTCTGTCAGTTGGAAAATACCTCATTGCATCATTATGATCATCGATCGGAGTCATCAATGCGTATCATCGTTCTTTTTGCATTCGTTCTATGGCGTGACACACACTTTTCTTCCGTATATCACAGTACCTTCAAAACGTGGAACGATTCTAAATTAGATATCCCCGATGACTAATGAAGGTATTTGAGATGACTAAGATAGACATGCTAAGTGTCTTGTTCCACACAGAAGTAGTACCTAACAAGCATCTGTACAATGCACCAGTCCCACGCACAGTCGGGCTTGCCTAGGCTTGGATCGCTCAAAAGTCGTGGGCTAGTGATGTATGAAAAATCATTTATTCCATCGACATGTAAAATTTGAAATGAGCTTCACACCAAAATTCATTCTGTTGTTAACTTTAACTGTCTCATCCGATTCGACCCAAAGATTTGGTGTGAATACGATGTTATGGAGTACGAGTCAAAGTTCTTTAACTTTATTCGAAGAAAACTAAAGATGTTCATTTGCTAGATATAAGACATAAATCAGATAAGGTGTATACATATATATGGAGAAGATCATTGTTGATAGAAATTTCGATGTAGGGCTCACATTATCTTTTTTGGACCGAAGCAAATTATGTAGGGTATCAATATTTTTGATCATCAAATTTATTCATTGCGAAAGAATCACCAAAAAATAAGACTTTTGATCACCAAAGAACGGGGGTCGATACGACACAAAATCGGCCCCCTCACACATCAAGCTTATATTAACCGATATTATGCGGTTTTTGTTACACGATTAATCCCAACATCCTATTTTTAGATCTTAAAAATCCTTTTCAGTACCACTTGGGAAACATTTTCGCAAACACAACTTTTCTTTCATCAAATGAACTTTACTGAGAGTATTTGCATTATTTCATCTTTTTCACTTGGAGCAAGCCTCAACTATCATATACCGTCCAGTAGAGAATTTTATGGGCTACAAAATGCTAAATAAAATATTCAGAAGAAAATAGGACTGAGTCGTCTAATATCAACAATACTCTGAAGCATCTCTGGTGCATGCAACTTTATGCAACTCTTTTCCTAGAATTAGGCACAGGTTCCAAAAAACCTTATTTTTTCCAAAGAAAACTCGGTTTTCTAGGTAAAATTCATTTTTCTCAGCGAAGAAACACTTTCAACAAAAAGTGGTGTCATATTCAGAATCAACACAAAAACTGCATCGAATGATGTATAATTTGTTAGTTTCCCAGACAAAAAATTCTTCTGAAAAAATTCGTAGCAAGAGTCCTCCTCAGGAATTTTTCATCAAAAAATACTTTTTTTGAATTTGACTTTTTTAATTTTATTAACATTTATGACGTAACAAAGTAATATTGAGCAAAAATAACCACTTTTTATGTTAAAAAACCACATGTTCATCTGCTCTGTGGAAAGGTGCCCACTGTGAGGTATCAGCTTCGAAGGGAAACCAGGGCTCTACAACACCATACAATCACCCCCTCTTTCATTCTGGACACATTTCGAGAAAATTGGAAGTGGGATCGATTCTCGTTCATATTGCACCTCGTCGTTTAATTTTACTTTGTCTTATTGTGGAGTAATTATTATCCGTGCAAAAAAAGAATGGTTCCCGATATTTTTCAATAACTGTTCGATGAAAAGAGCTAGGTCCTTATGGTTTTCAGCATTCGACTGAGGATAGTTGGAGAAACAGACCTATGGAAAAGAGGCTCCGGATCAGGTTTATCATGGTAAGCCACTCCGTGCAACCGGGATAAACATGAACGATGTTGATCCACCACTGTGTTGAGATGCTTCAGAGTATTGTTGATATTAGGCGACTCAGTCCTATTT